CAGCACCTTCGCGAGAGCCTCGACCACCACCACCCCGCAATCACTCGCCTAAAAATTACACAATCCCCAGCTCACCACCCCACCATACGGAATCGGAAGCTGGGTCGACAAGTCTAAACTCGCGCAATTTCTATAATTGTGCAAGTCGTTCGGTGCACAGCTCAGGGCCCCCCAATTCACCAACCAAAGCTCAATCAGGGCCCTGACGGCTCCGTGAGCCCCAGGTATGCCTCTGCAAGATAACAGCGGCTGGTTTTTTTTTAGGAAGTCATTTCCTTTACACCGTGCGCACTCTGCGAGTTTTACGGTCACAGGGCCACTCGCGCAATATACGCACAGTAACTGTAACCGCCCCCCCCATCCCCAAACCGTTAAATTAACACGATCGGCTTGTTTCAGAATGGGGAAATCCCAGCTCCGAGGGCGGCCGGGAGGTGGGCGGCGCCTCACGGTGGGTGAGAAGAAGGGCCCATGGGTTCAAGTCCCCGACTGGGGCACCTTCCTGTGTGTGCGGGGTTTGTGTGTTCTCCACCGCGGTTTTGCATGGGTTTCCGCCAGGTTCTCCGCCGACATGACACAAATCGGGATTATATGTGCGGAAAAGGATATGATAATGTAATATACAATGATAAACCTGATATTTCTAGCACCTCTCGTGTATAACACCCCCCCACCCGCCCCCCCGAACATACGCAGTCGAATTATAAAATACAGGGACGCAATGATACTATCAATGAAAATGTATACAAAAACATATCCATTAGTAATTAACAAGTTTACATGTAGATGTATATATTTTTAAAAATCTATATTGTCTTTAAGACTTAAAACTAGCAATGGAATGAGCATCTCTGATAAGAGCAGCACCCTTGTTTCTTGACAAGCTGTGTGTGTTAATAGACAGCCCCCTCCACACACAATAACTCACACCACGTTGCTGTACTGCAACTGGGACGGAGCCCGCCACTGTTTGCCAACCGCTCTTATCTGTCAATGCCAGGCAACCCTGATGGGCAACGCACAGAACACCTAGCGCACGAAGCGAGGTCGACTTCCCAGCCATGGGCTAACGGAAAGCCATATCCGAGCCGATCGTCGGACCTCCCCCGCTTCCCTTCCACGTCATCGATTCACCAACCCGAATCGTAACCAAGGTGGTGAAGTATGGTAAAAAAAACTCCCCGTGACTTAACATTGTGCGGGGTGGGGGGGGGGGGGCAGGCCTTCGTTTCATCCGGCAGCGGATTGAGATTGGCTTTGCACGTTGCTTTTTACTTCTTCACGGCGGATGTTACGTTTTGCAAGATAGTCTCCCCAGATCTGCTCGCAAACGGCCACTCATCTGGTGTCATCGTGACGGGCCCTAAACGCCACAAACTGGGGCATTAACAAATAATTTACCACCAAAGTTTACATCGTTAGGGGTGGGAGAGCAGTGGCGCCGCGGTTAGCGTACTGCGCTATGAATCCAGTGACCGGTCGCAGTCAAAAAAGTTCAAAGTGATTTCCTGCTCAAAATAAGCGGCGCTCATCCTTCAGTTTCCAACCCCGAGAAGTGGACATCCACATTCCTATGGCGGTAATCAGTCTATCCATTGCACAACCACTGTTGATCTTCCCCACTTTGTAGCAATCGTGTTGTCTACCCCAAGAAGGATGATGGGCCAAGTCAACCAACTATGGTTTGGAACCCGGAAGCTCGTGATTGTGATCCACTTACTCGGCTATAGCCGAGCCACTCGACCTGCTTTGCAGTGGCGATATCGGAATTCCCTCCCCACCAACTCCTTCAACACGTCCCAGTGACCAGCGTGGCGAAGTATGGTCAAGCAACCCTAATTACTTAACAGTGCAGGGAGGACATCGTCCAGCAGTGACACAATGAGAAGAGTATTTGTATTCTCATTGACGAACCATAGGAAGACACCCCACGCCTCAAATTGTATGTGCCATGTGTCCAAGCTTAAGTATTTAACTCGGCAATGTGCATTTGCACTCTGATGCACATGTAACAAAATTGCATGTCATTGAATAAGCTTCCATTTAAAATCAGCTCTCATCAGGAGACAAAGAGGAACACGTTGATTACAGAACACACGCAGGATAGAGACTTAATTTTCAGTGTTAAGAAAAATGGGATTGGGCAGGACATGTCACGGCTCGAAGGGACGGCGATGGCCGATGCTCCAGAATAATAAGTGTAAGCAGCCAAGGAATGGGACACTATTTTTACTATTTTTATTTAGCCAGGTAAGGCCCCACTGAGCAATATCACTCACCTGGCCACAAACGATAGGTCAATGAAGTGGCTTATCACGTGCAAATGTATAGCAGCCGAATACTCTAAACACAAATGTGGAGAGAAAAAAACAGAGGAGCCGGACAAAAATCAACGCAACCACGGGGAAAACACGCAAACTCCAAAAATAACGGCTTCAGGGTCAGGATCGAACCAACGACCTCCTGCATACCAGGCGAGGTAGTTACCATCTTGCCAGTGGGGGTATTGACTCTGCCCACCACCTGAGAAGACCACCGAGGAGATGGAGAGATGAAATCAGCTCTGCCCAGGTGCTCGATTGACACAGGGCCATGAGAAATGGTGACGGCTTGAGGTCTTCATCCAAGAGTGGATCGTCCAGGACTGATGGCAATACGGTACTACTGCTTACGATAGCACAAGCTCACCCACATGCGCGTCAAGCCGAAGTAAAATGGGGGTATTAATTCAGCCCATCATCCCTCAAGGGTGGACAAAATTAGTACCTTCGTGGGTAAGTCAACAGTGGTTATCCTATTATATGTCCACCAACACAGGAGGAATGTGGAATTTCCACCAACTGCTCAGGGCTGTAAAGAGGCGATGAGTACTCATGCCTCAATGCTTGTTTAAGCAGGAAATCACTTTGAATTCCTTCCGGCTGTGGAGGGAAAGGAGGAGCGAGAGAAGGGGAGTGGCCGAGTCCCCGAATCCTACGGCTGGGACTTTCTAGGAATATCCTGGAACTACGCGGCAATGATCGCAGTCACCCGTGGGAGCAAAGCATCACCGTGAATGGACTCGAACTTGCTCTTCAGATAAAGGTATTCTCATTACCATCAGCTATGGGCTATCCACTGCTGGACCTGCCCAAGCCGTTGCCATCTCTCGTGGTGTAACGATGTAACAATCCGTCGGGCTACTGCACACAAGTGGATTTCATCGCTCCCAACTCCACGGGGAATGTACTTTCTGGCAGGTTCCTTCCGTGGGCTACCATTCCCTTCTGATTTTTGTCCACCAGTCAGTCAGCATCACTTCTACATAGATTCTACAAATCCACTCCGCTGTGTAGTCTAAAGATCCACTCTACTGTGTATTCTACAGAATTGCTCGATTTGTCAGTAATGTTCAATCCACCGTGGATTTTACAGAATCATTCCACTGTGGCTTCTACAGCATCACTCCACTCTGGGTTCTACAGATTCACTCCACGATGGTGTGTGAAGTTCAGCACTGGGAGAGAAATGTGGCCTGGCATAGTGCTGGCCACACCAGCACCTCGTGTGCCATGCCAGTAATTATGTGTACTCGCTAACAAGACTAGCCCCAACAGTCTTTATTGCTGTAGGGGGGAGGGGATCTTTCTATTTGTATGTACAGTATACATGTAGACCCCACTGCTGGATGATAGCCTCCCCTTGCCAAGCAGGTTGTGGGGGGTAATTTGACCAGATGCGTTTGCGAGGGTGCGGAAATGTACACCCTGCTGCTGTCTGCCAGTGCTTCCCAGGAGTGTGCCTGGTTTAGAGAAAGGCTCATAATGGTCAACCACAAAAGGGTGGACCCAGAAGTCATGGCATGGAATTAAACAGGAGAGATTCCATAAATTACCATCATCCATCAAAATCAGTCGTGATCAATCCACTGCTGCATAATGTATAAAGGAGATACAATATGAGACCGATGTATCCCATAAACTATCAATTGTCCGCCACGTTCAATCCACTGCAAGATTGAGTCATCCCTGCCCATCAAGCCATCAGCATCTGTCACGATTCTGCGATGTAGCAAATCCACCTGGCACCTTCTGTACACGAGCCAATTTCATTTCCCCATCTGTCTTTTGTGACGTTCCCGACAATCGACTCTCAAACCTTGCCCAGCTAGGACGGCTGTCACTGACGGAGCGTAGAGACGCGACAAGAGATAATGGACGATGGTCGACAATGATGGAGTGGCAGCCAAGCAATGGAAGGCGTCCGAGATGTCGTTCGTTCACAGAAGGAAATTTTGCGCCAAAGTTAGCGGTGGGCGCATGGCCGATTACATCGCGGGATCGTGAGAGACGGCGACAGCTTGCGGGAGGACTTCATCCAGCAGTGAATTGAGCACGGCTGATTATTACGATGCATCGGTCATGACCAATGGCTGATGACGCTGACGATCATGATGTAGTTGTTGAGTCTCAGCTATACCTGTGTCACGTGTCAGGCGTCTATAGCCCTTCCACGGCAGAACTCGTCATTAATTATCGTCAGAAATGGCACAATCCAGTGCCGAATGACAAGCTCACTCCAGAGCAGTCGCCATCTCTCACGACACAAGAGGATGACATCAATCCACCGAGCCCCGTGCCGCACTCTCATCCGACAGCATCGCTCCATCTCCCTCGGGGACGTGCCGCACAAATCTTCTTTCACGGGGTTTTTTTTTTTTCCCGCCTGCGTCCCAGTTCTTAAAGCATAGCCAGAACCGCACACGCGCCACATCTCAAATGGTCGGGTTCCTTAACCCTTCCGCAATTTCATGATCCTCTACGCAATCGGCTTGCTTTGTTTCAGCAGCATCTATGATCAAATCCACTGCTGGATGAGGTCGTCCGTCTCCCAACGCCCCGCTACTCCACGGCGTCTTCCCATCGCGGTCGACGTTGACGGTGCGCGCCGCGAATTCACGCGACGCTCCGTCTCGCTCCGTCTCCACTTGGGAGGTCCCCCCCCCACTACCCCCCCACTACCCTCCCCACTACCCTCCCCCCTCTCTCTCTCTGAGATTTTTAACATGGCGGGGCTCGGGCCCCCATGGGCGGGGTAGGAGCCTCGGCCTCGCCTGGCCTCCCACTGCCGACCGGGCCACCGCCCGCCCCGGCCAAAGCCGCTCAGGCGAGCACCGTAGGCGCAAGCAAAGACCGCGGAGGGGGCCTACGGGTGGGTCGAGCAAACCGGCTCGTACGCGGCGGGGCGCTGTTTTAAAACGACTCCGAATGTAATTTTAGGCACATTCTGACGGATTCCGAGAGGGCGCGGACTAAGCGCCGGGCGACGTTTCGCTCGGCGATTTCGTTTCCTCTCGCTCGCTCGCTAACAATGGCGGCCTCCTCCCCCCCCCCCGCCGCAGGCTGCGACAAGAAGACCCAGGCCGCGCCGTGAGGGGGGACCGAGAGGCGAACAACAGCACAAACGTTGCCCGCCTCTCCCCTCACGACGACGGCGGCGGCGGCGGACACCGCGCTCGTAGACGCCGGACAACGACACGAGAGCGCTCTCGGCCGCCCCGTGTAACGCTAAAGGCCGCCGCGGTGTTTCCCCGCCGCCGCCACCCCCAGCGTGAGGCAGACGCCCAGCAATGGCGGCTTCCCTCACGCATTCGTCGGTGCGAATAAAATTCTGTTTAAAATTTCACATTTTTTTAAAGTAGTTTTTTTTACACAGCTGTTGATTTGTAACGAGAAAAACTGCGGACCGTGGGAAGGGGGGGGAAGCGGTGTGGTTTCGAGTACATCGGCTCACGTGTTAAAGAGTTGGAAGTATGGTTAACATCGGCAGGTTGGTTACGGGATGCAACGGGCGGCGGGCTCGTGAAGTAGGATTCGTTCATCCAGCGGTGGATTGATCTTGGCCGATGAAGATTTACGATAAAGATGAATGTTTTGACGATGATCGTCATCGTATGAACATTATCTGTCGGGATGCATGAACTGGATATCGCTGTCGAATGCGATGCCCGCCACGGCGAGTAAAGATGGGGGAATGGGAATCAAATTGTCAACTCAAAACCCATCGCCGTCTGTGGACGCGTCTTTAGAATGTGCACCACCAAGTACAGCAAGCAAGCAGCAGACATCCACACACAATTCGCGTGTAACCTCCTCGACATGAAACTCGCAAAACGACAACGACGGAGCTGGACAAATCCCCCGAAACGCACGCCACACACACACTCACACAGCAGCAGCAGCAAGATAATGTCGCCGTGTCTTTACCTTGAACCTTTTGTCCTGCAGCACCTTCTTGATGGCCACCATCTCGCCGCTATCGCACAGCTTGGCCTGGTACACCACCCCGAACGAGCCATTGCCGATCACCTTCGTGTCGGTGTAGGAGACCTCCTGGGGCCGCTCGGGCCCCTGGCCCGGGGTCGCCACGACGGTCGTCACCTTGCCGCCGTCTTTATCCCCTTAAATTAAGGGGGAGTCGATCAACAACAGCGGCGAAAACAACAACAAACACACACACACGTAAAACAGCTACCATCGGCAAAGGCTGCTGTTGGCTGCTGCTGCTGTTGTATCGGCAACGACAGCGCCAATAGCCAAGCCAAGCGAAGCGCGCAGAGGCGGCGTTGGTGAACGCAACGAAATGAACTCTAACACGCGGGGCCCCTGCTGCTGCTCCTCAGCCGGCTGCTGTCGTGGCGACGAGGGTCGGGGTGCGAGGGTGAAGGCGTTCACGTGGAACTTACGGCTGACTTTGAGGTTCCCGAAGAGCGATGGCTGCGCTGCCCGATTCGGGCCTTCGGCAAAAGACGAGGTGCGGGGCCGTCCACTCATGGCCCCTCCTCGTCCTCCTCCTCGTCCTCCTCTCCTCTCGGTGTTGTTCTGATGATTATTCTGGTTGTTATCTTCTCGACGACGTCGTCGCTGTAGTGGTGGTGGTGGTGGTGAATGTGTCGAGCGATCTCCCCCCCCCGCCTCCTCCGCCTGGTTATTGTTCTACCACTGCCGCCGCCTTCAGCCCGACTCGCCCCGATGTCTCGGTCTGTGTCTCACGATGTGTTGTGAGGCCACATCCCAGTACCCTGTGTCCCTGTGTCTCCCTGTCTGTGTCTCTGTCTCCCTGTCTCTGTGTCTCTCTCTGTCTCCACCCCCCACCCTGTGTCTGTCTCCCTGTCTGTATCCCCCTGTCTGTCTCTCTGTCTCCACCCCCCACCCTGTGTCTCTGTCTCCCTGTCTGTATCCCCCTGTCTCCCTGTGTCTCTCTCTGTCTCCACCCCCACCCTGTGTCTGTCTCCCTGTCTGTATCCCCCTGTCTGTCTCTCTGTCTCCACCCCCCACCCTGTGTCTCTGTCTCCCTGTGTCTCCCTGTCTGTATCCCCCCCTGTGTCTCTCTCTCTCTGTCTCCACCCCCCACCCTGTGTCTCTGTCTCCCTGTGTCTCTCTCTGTCTCCACCCCCACCCTGTGTCTCCCTCTGCCCGTCCCTTGTACAATGTATCTCCTGTTAGATCTCCTGTTAGATGTAGCACGGCGTGTTCCTTCGCCTTTATCTCCGTCTCGTTTTTTGCTTCTATGGATGCCCCCCTGCTCTCTAATTACCTATTTCATCCCCTGTATCGCCATATGATTAGCTACAGATAATTATCTCCTGTATCCTCGTAGACCTGTAACACGGCTTACTTTGGACGTCTCTCTTTTAACAAAACAAAATAACCGTACGCTGTCTGCTCATCTCCCTCTATAACATTAACCTTTCGTCGTATCTCCTCCCAACCAACCCAACCAACCCACCCACCCCAAAGTTCGATCCCTAATTGAAAGAACGAACAGGGCCCGATGTCGTGAGGCCACAAGTCAACCCCCCCACACCCCAATCCTGAGCCGGTGCAGTAACAGCAGCAGCAGCCCCGATCGCTCGCTCGCTCCCTTGCCGCTGTTGGGCCCCCTATTATTTTAATCGCCAAAAGGATTATTACCTCGTCACGCCGCCTCTCCGAAATAAATCTCCGCTCGCCCCCTTTAAGCGCTCCGTTTCGTCCACGCGGCACATAACCTGCCGCTAGAACTCGTTAGCCCACACACATCGACTTGGAGAGAGAGTTAATATTATTATTACTCCTGCTGCTGCTGCTGCCCTACTCGCCTCGTCTCTCCCCCCCCGCCGCCGCCGCCGCGTCTAATTGCGACCTATTGTAACATCCGTCTCTTTATCGGCGGATTGTAGAAGACGCTGGGGCTGCGGCGAGCACACCGGCTCAGAGACAGCTTCCCCCGCCACCCACACCCCCCCACAACAACCGCTTCCCAACACTCGTGAGCCGCCGCCGCCGCCGCCGGCTCTTCTCCACTGCTGGCCTAGACTGCCGGCCGAGGGCGCGCAGAGCCGAGACGAAGAAGCTACCCGCCGATCTCCTCTTAAAAATGACCTACAGTCTACACGATGGGCGGAATCGATTCTAGAGCCGCCGCGATTCGCACTCCTCACCCCACGCCCAGCCCACCGCCCACCACCGGTGTTAAAAACGGAATCGGAATCGAATCGAGTTTTTTTTAATACTGAACGCGATTGCACTCAATGTCGATTCAACAAATGTGGAAATCGAATCGATGTATTTAAAATTGTATTTTAGCATCTTCACAGAACATCACATTCAATGTCAGAATCAGAATCTTTATTTATCCTGGAGAAATACGATGAGCGATGAAGCTATTTTTCACAGATGTCCAGTCGGAGCAGGTCAGAAAGCCACAACAAACAATACAAAAATGGCCCATTTAGAAGGGCCATGACTCGAAACGTCGCCTATTATATATTTACCATTTAAGGTCATACACACGCGGTGCTATTATGAACACGGAACGTTCAGTAGTTGTTTGCGCACCACTGCTAAAGCAACAACCAGCAGCAGCGTCACCAGATAACACAAAAATCAACACAAACTCAACACGTGCATCATTAACACTGTGGCCTTAAAAGAGGAAAAAATATTTGATGGGCGACGTTTCGGGCAATGGGCCTTCTTCATAGCACATGCATACATCCAATGTGGGTGTGTCCTGATTAAAAGCTTGATCATCCACATTTAAATGTTAAAATTGTATCTTCAAAGTGCTGCTCACAATGAGCATTGCACGATTGGTGCCTATCTCGTTGTTACAGCCCTGCGAAGCCACGAGTGGAAATTCCACATTCCCATGGCGGGGGATGCGCGTCTACCCATAGAACAACCACTGGCAACCTTCCACAAATTGGAAAGCACTTTATCGACCATTGAGGGATAGATGATGATGGGCTGAGTTCTCCTTTCGCGAGCCGTTCACCCCACCGCTGAGACATCATCCTCAGCCGTGGTCGATCCACTGCTGGATAGAGGCCACCACCACCGTTCACGATCCATGGCTGTGACGATCCTCCCGGCACCTGCTGCTGTTCACTGTTGCTCTGCACTGCTGCCCGTGTCCGTGTGTTGTTGTTGTGTTGTTGTAACTCGTGCACTCCGTGGCCTGACTGGACATTTGTGTGGTAAAGAGCTTTACAGCTCTTCGGATTAATCCTCCTCCAGTCTGAATAACGATTCTGATGCTGACCGTCCACTCTCTCTCGCTCTCTGGCATCTCGATGTGTGTGCCATGACAGAGGGCCATTGCCTTAAACGTCACGCGGTGCTGCTGTTGTTGTTGACACGGATCGTGCTGAGTTGTTGTTGTCACGGAACCTGCTGAGTTGTTGTTGTTGACACGGATCGTGCTGAGTTGTTGTTGTTGTTGTTGACACGGATCGTGCTGAGTTGTTGTTGTTGTTTTTGACACGGATCGTGCTGAGTTGTTGTTGTTGTTGACACGGAACATGCTGAGTTGTTGTTGTTGTTGTTGACATGGAACCTGCTGAGTTGTTGTTGTTGTTGTTGACACGGATCGTGCTGAGTTGTTGTTGTTGTTGTTTTTGACACGGATCGTGCTGAGTTGTTGTTGTTGTTGACACGGAACCTGCTGAGTTGTTGTTGTTGTTGACATGGAACCTGCTGAGTTGTTGTTGTTGTTGACACGGAACCTGCTGAGTTGTTGTTGTTGTTGTTGACATGGAACCTGCTGAGTTGTTGTTGTTGTTGACATGGAACCTGCTGAGTTGTTGTTGTTGTTGACACGGATCGTGCTGAGTTCTTGTTGTTGTTGTTGTTGCCACGGAACCTGCTGAGTTGTTGTTGTTGTTGACATGGAACCTGCTGAGTTGTTGTTGTTGTTGTTGACACGGATCGTGCTGAGTTGTTGTTGTTGTTGACATGGAACCTGCTGAGTTGTTGTTGTTGTTGTTGCCACGGAACCTGCTAAGTTGTTGTTGTTGTTGACATGGAACCTGCTGAGTTGTTGTTGTTGTTGACAATGAACCTGCTGAGTTGTTGTTGTTGACACGGATCGTGCTGAGTTGTTGTTGTTGACACGGATCGTGCTGAGTTGTTGTTGTTATCTGCCACTGCCAACACAGCAGCAGCAGCACCAAATCGTGTCTCTTGTTGTTAAGACGCCGCGGTGGCTAGGAGATGTTAACTACCTCGCCTCTCATCATCATCACGGTGGCTAGGAGATGTTAACTACCTCGCCTCTCATCATCATCACGGTGGCTAGGAGATATTAACTACCTCGCCTCTCATCATCATCACAGTGACTAGGAGATGTTAACTACCTCGCCTCTCATCATCATCACAGTGACGAGGAGATATTAACTACCTCGCCTCTCATCATCATCACGGTGGCTAGGAGATGTTGACTACCTCGCCTCTTATCATCATCACGGTGGCTAGGAGATGTTAACTACCTCGCCTCTCATCATCATCACGGTGGCTAGGAGATGTTAACTACCTCGCCTCGCATCATCACAGTGGCTAGGAGATGTTAACTACCTCGCCTCTCATCATCATCACGGTGGCTAGGAGATGTTAACTACCTCGCCTCTCATCATCATCACGGTGGCTAGGAGATGTTAACTACCTCGCCTCTCATCATCACAGTGGCTAGGAGATGTTAACTACCTCGCCTCTCATCATCATCACGGTGGCTAGGAGATGTTAGCTACCTCGCCTCTCATCATCATCACGGTGGCTAGGAGATGTTAACTACCTCGCCTCTCATCATCACAGTGGCTAGGAGATGTTAACTACCTCGCCTCTATCATCATCACGGTGGCTAGGAGATGTTAACTACCTCGCCTCTCATCATCATCACGGTGGCTAGGAGATGTTAACTACCTCGCCTCTCATCTTCATCACAGTGGCTAGGAGATGTTAACTACCGCGCCTCTCATCATCATCACGTTGGCTAGGAGATGTTAACTACCTCGCCTCTCATCATAATCACAGTGGATAGGAGATGTTAACTACCTCGCCTCTCATCATCATCACGGTGGCTAGGAGATGTTAACTACCTCGCCTCTCATCGTCACAGTGGCTAGGAGATATTAACTACCTCGCCTCTCATCATCATCACGGTGGCTAGGAGATGTTAACTACCTCGCCTCTCATCATCATCACGGTGGCTAGGAGATGTTAACTACCTCGCCTCTCATCATCATCACGGTGGCTAGGAGATGTTAACTACCTCGCCTCTCATCATCATCACGGTGGCTAGGAGATGTTAACTACCTCGCCTCTCATCATCATCACGGTGGCTAGGAGATGTTAACTACCTACCCTCTCATCATCATCACAGTGGCTAGGAGATGTTAACTACCTCGCATCTCATCATCATCACGGTGGCTAGGAGATGTTAACCACCTCGCCTCTCATCATCATCACAGTGGCTAGGAGATATTAACTACCTCGCCTCTCATCATCATCACGGTGGCTAGGAGATGTTAACTACCTCGCATCTCATCATCATCACAGTGGCTAGGAGATATAACTACCTCGCCTCTCATCATCATCACAGTGGCTAGGAGATGTTAACTACCTCGCCTCTCATCATCACGGTGGCTAGATGTTAACTACCTCGCCTCTCATCATCATCACGGTGGCTAGGAGATGTTAACTACCTCGCCTGGTGTGCAGGAGGTCGTGGGTTCGATCCAGACCCTGACGACGCCTGCTGCTGCTGCTGGACATCTATGGACATCTCTGGCGTTTGCGTGGTCGCTTGGATTTTTCTCCGGATCCTCCCGTTTCCCCCTCCAC